ACTGGTCGCCTCGTGATCGGAGAAGGCAGATCCATGGAAGACTGTTCCCCCTTGTCACGTGGGCTCTCTTTTGACTACCCTTATGACCACTTTCTTAATTTCTTGTATTTCTACTATACGTATATATAGGGAGTATAAAAATAATCAAATTTGCAAAAAGTTCTACTACTAACACAGAACTAACAGTATAACTCAGGTATTACTATATATAGAGACCACTTGGCACTTGCTTATGAAACCATACTTGTATATCATATAGCTGCTTGTAGTGGCACTTCAACTCTCTCTCCGGTCCCTTTTTCCTTCTTTCTACAGTGTACCACACTTTGCCCTTCTCTCTGTTTCTGTTTCTGGCTAATTAGTAGCACACTAAATAACACACATGAATCTGGTCCCTACCCCCCTCTGCATTTTACCTGCAAACAAAGAATCCAAAAAAACGTTGTAGCAGACGTTTGACGACCAACGTGGACTCTCTGCACCTGCTGACTAGTATTTCGCCATTTTATTAGCTTATAAAGAGCTAACAGACAATACTACAAAACCCAAAGCTCTCTCCCCTAAGTTCTTCCTCCCATTCAAACCTTCTATTATTATTACATATCCCTTTCAACTTACTATTCCCTCTCCTACCTATCGCTTTCTCCCCTCCCTTTCATCTCATGCTAATTGTTCTATAAACACTGCGTTGCCTCTTCCTTTATATCTCAAAGGCGAGGAAGTAGAAACTGAGAGGAAAAATGATGCATCGTTGCAGTAGCAGTTGTCATGGAAGTATGGTGGGTCCATGTTCATGTGGTCTGTTTCACAGTCAAAGCAATGTTACTACTACTACTTCTTCTGCTTTCTCAATGCTCTTCTCCCATAACCCTAGTGCTTTTGATCATGAATATTCGGAAAACATGTACTCTTTTGCTCCTTCTTCTTCATCTGTGGATTGCACTCTCTCCTTAGGGACGCCTTCCACTCGCCTTACTAATGAGATTAGTGAAAAGAGGGTAGTTCAGTCTCATGAACGTCGCTCTTCCTACATGCCTAACTTCTGCTGGGATATTCTTCAGCCAAAACAACATACTCCATCGCCGCCTTCTTCCGCACACAAATCCACTCGTGGCGGTAGCAATGGTAGTAACACCAACTCTGCTGACCCCCTTGTTGCTCGCCGCTGCGCTAACTGTGATACCACTTCAACTCCGCTTTGGAGAAATGGTCCTAGAGGCCCTAAGGTATAGTTTCTTGATTACTCTTTTATGTCATTTAAAAATAATTTTATTGTTCTTAAATAGCGAAATTAATAACCTATAACGTTTTAAGATATAATGCAAGATTATAAGTTAAATCCTTTTCTCTTTGTCATTGATACTCTTTTCGAATATGTTTATCGCAATTTTCTATCTACTCAGAGAGTTTAATTTTTGCACATTAACATATATAGTAACTAGCATAAACTTTTATACTATCATAATGAGTTTAACTTATGACAATGAGTGACTATTTGCAACAAATTTAATGTAACTTGGAAAGTGCGGTAATAACTTACTATAATCAATCACTAAATTATACTCCCTCCGTTTCAATTTTTGTGAACCTATTTCCTTTTTAGTCACTAAAAAGAATGACCCCTTTTTTTATTTGGAAATAATTTACCTTTACGCAATGATTTATAGCCACACAAAATATATGTGTCTCATTTTACACACAAGATCAAAAATCTTCTCTTTTTTCTTAAACTTCGTGCCCAGTCAAATGTGTTCAAAGTAGATTGAAAAGCAGTGAGCATGTACTAAAGTTATAATGACAGAGTAAAACTTTTTTCTCCATGTACTTAGCTTAAATCTTGAGTTATGACCTCTGAAGCTATGAAACTAATGGTTATAATGGATTTTACGCAGTCACTTTGCAATGCATGTGGAATTCGATTCAAGAAGGAAGAGAGAAGAGCAAGTGCAGCAGCAGCCACCGCTAACGGTGGAAGAGGAGGAGGAGGAGGAGGAATGGACACACAACACATGATAAACAGTACTGCTTCATGGGTTCACCATTCACAACCCCCAAAAATGCCTTATTTCTCTTCAGCTGCCTATGGAAACGAATTCAGGTTCATAGAAGATGATGACCGTGATTCTGATGCCACCGCCATTCCTTTCCTTCCTTGGCGTCTCAATGTTGCTGATAGGCCTAGTCTTGTTCGTGACTTCACTAGATAAGGAAAAAAAAATTAAAAATAGGATGAATGTTTCAAGCAGCGTTTAAATTTCACGAAAAGAAGAAAAAAAAAATGGAAGCCCCCCATTACGTGTCATGATGATGGTGATGGTGGCGATATGACGGCTACGGTTCAAGAAATTCTTTTGCTTTCAGCTGTTTTCTTTTTGGTCCATCTTTCACAGAGATGGAGTGAAAATGAGTTAATTCTCTGTTTTTGTTTGTTGGCTTTGCCTCCTTTTGGTAGTAGTTACGTTATTCTAGTATCTTTAACTTTTCACTTTGATGATGATCAGTCAATATATATACTAAGCAGTGGCACCACTTTTTTCTGTTAGTCCTCGTCACACATATATAGTATTACTTTCTTGAATATGATGGTCGACCAGCAGTGTTCTCTTTATCAACTGAAGGTTTTCTGCTGTTTGAGCTGCCGGCAAATAACAGTACAGTATCTCTTTTTTAGCTTTCTACGTAATAAATGGAATTGTTGCTACGACAGTGCTGCATTAATGAATTATTAGCTCATATCATTTCATTCTGGGCCAGAACTGAAATGTTATTAATTAATAAGTGTTTGTTATACATTAGATTGAGATGTTTACGTCTGTAATGTTATATGCTACAGCTTTTTTCTTTTCGTTTGGAGTGCAGCAGGACAGAACACTGAGCACAGCATGGTCCTGAAGAACATGGAAATGAAAATGCTGTTTTCAGATGTAACGGAAAATTAACTAAAGGCACTGTAAGCATAGATGTGATATTTGCATTTTGGCTCTTCTGGGAGCCTGGAATACAGTTATACAATCAAAGCCTTTTAATTTGTTACTACAATTTACTGTTGCGCCTTCAAGATTTAGCCGGCTTATAAAATAGTTTTACCATGGTAAAGATATTCGAATAACTAAGCTGTTAGTGGTTAGTACTGTAGTTAGCAGTTAGTGTTAGTTTGTTAATAGGAGTTAGTTATAACTAACACACATGGATATTAGTTGTTAGTGGAGTGCGGAACCAAAATGTGATTTTTTTTTACTCAAAATACGTAAATAAGTGTAAAAAGAAAAGTTACCAAACTATATATAACGCCACAAATAGTGGTGCTATACAGTAACGTTAACTGCACCGTTACTGTATAGCGTCACTATTTGTGGCGTTATACTGACACACCTTACATAGCGCCATTAATAGTGCCGCTATACCCCTTATTACCTGAACACATAGCGCCATTAATAGTGGCGCTATACCCCTTAATACAAATCCTCCATCTTCTTCTCCTTCGTTCCATCTCCCTCATTTCTCATTTCTGATCCCCCACCACCACCACCACCACCACCACCGATTCTGTCCCCATTTTTTAAAAAAAAAAATTTTGGGTCCCCCCGTCACATAAAAGTTTAATATTTGTGGTCCCACTGTCGAGTAGAGCTTCGTGTTATTGTGGATTCACTCTTCCGGAGTCAAAATTTCGATCTATTTACATTCCGAAAATTCTAAATCGAGGTATTTCGATTTATTTTAAGTTGAAACTTTTATAACAATGCATATTACTTGATTTGTATGTGTTCTTTTTCGGTTTGTGTTTATTTTTTCCGAAACTAGCATGTTAAATTTTATCCGGATTTAATTTTAATGTTGTATAAAAATATGTAAATTAGTCTAAAAAATGTGTTTGTTAATATCCTCATGTATATTTATGTGTTTTTATGCCGTTTAGTTTAGATTATTTTTTAGCGTAGTAAAATGTAGACCTTTTTTAGCGTAGTAAAACGTAGACCTTTTTAGCGTAGTAAAACGTAGACCCTTTTAGCGTATAAAATGTAGAGCTTTGTAGCGTAGTATTGTGTAGTAATTGTTTAATTATCTTATATTCTAGCACGAAACCCATAATTATATATATA